CCTCAAATGGCATGAGGTTTGCAGGGATTGAAAAGGTACATCTGGGCCGCAGAAGGGGTGATCTTGATCAAATACTCCTTAAAAGGGAATGCTTCTGGATCTATAGGTTCAATACCCTGGCTCCCAGAGGTCTCAATGAAGGGTTCACTTTTTTGCCCTTCATTGACAGGTAAATAATACAAGGACAATACTTTCAACATATAAGCGAGAGTGAGGGATTGTCCAATTGTAAATACTTTATTTTATTTTATTATTTTTTTCCTTAATGTACTAAGGAAGATTCAGGAGATTTTAAAGGTTAACTCAAAGTGTTCAATGAATAGCGTATATTGGTTTTAAGGTGAATTAGGGGAGTGAAGGATGCCTATGTGCTGTCTCTTTTACAGTTGAGTCTGGGATTGTGGGAGAAATGTAGCTCACCGAAACATAAAGAAGCAGGAATAGTGCTATCAGAGGGGGACAGCCACATCTCAGTGACTAAAGTGGTGTGAGAGATTTTGAGATGAAGAGGATCGTGTTGATTTCAGATTGATGCCAATGGAGCAGGTGTCCCAGAGTGCACAATGAATGTTGGTAGATGAGAATGAATGGCAGAGTATTGGGATGAGTTTCATGTGGTTTCCTGGTAGTCTTTGGTGAATACCGGAGGTGAGGAGCCCTGGGTTGGGAAAGACATCACCAGCTACTAGATGCAGGAGGAGAGATAAACACCAGAACCGCTAGATTAAGATACAGTGGTTCTGGTGACTATAGTGTCCCTTTAAGCCAAAATAGCTAATAAGGAAAAACCTCTAATGCAAATCTAGATGTTGACTCAATTAACTTTGTAATGAATACATCTCCATGTATGATTTATGAGCTTCAAAGAAATTGTATTTTTAATGTTGGCATGCCTTGAACTAGTGTTCGACCAACTGTCACTTTCCTCTAATTATTATCCACTTCAGAAATCTTAACACACATGAATGATATCCCACATGAATTTGAATCAAAGAATATTGTGTGAGTTGCATCTCTTTCTTTTAGATGTGAAAACAGCTGTGCTTAATGTGGGTATAATAGACGCTGTCTTCATTTAGCAAACTTCATAACAAATGCAGTTTTATATAGGCTGAGTTCTAAAATGCTGTTGCTAAGAGCTTTCAATTTCTATAGTGGCATAAATAATATACTTTTAATACAGAAAGCTAGATTGTTAACCAAATAACTCTCTTGTGGATTCTCATAGCTGAGAGTCATGGTAGCTATAAGAAGCTAAAGAGCAAATTATTAGGAAACTGAATATTTTTTTAAAGAGAAAAAAATAACACTTTAGAAAATATACATGTGTGGCATATACTGGTCTTACCTTAGAGGAAAAATAATGGAAACATGTTGCACAAAAGATAAATGTTGCAAAATTCCAGGACTCAAAAAAAAGATGCCAGTTTGACATGGCATCCATTAATTGGCTCTTGGTAGCTGGTGTAAGGCACAATTTTTTTCCACATAATGAAATATCCACCTCCTGAGGTACCATGTGAAAGTCCTCGAAAACATGAGCAAGTGGCATAACATTCAGGTAAATTAGGCCTCAAGAAGGGGATTAAAAAATGTCCCATCTTGATAATTATGCAGGCCTATTTAGGGCAGAGTAAACATAGACAATAATGCATATTGAAAAAAAAAAGGGTGGGGGAGGGTGGTAAAAAGAGGTAAGGAGAATAAAAGAAAAGAAAGAAAAAGAAAGAAAGAAAGGAAAAGAGAAAAAAAAAGGGGTGAGGGGTTAAAAGGAAATGAATAATATAATCAAGAGTGACCAATAGTAAGTAATACAGTTAATACGATTCTATGAATTAACACATAAACATTCATGTTTATTGAATTATAACCGTTTTTTCATATTATAAATGTGGTGATTTTCCCAATATTCTAACTTTTCATGGTGGTGGTTGTGGTGTAGAGCTCGTTGATCTCTCTGGAGTAGTTGGATCTGATAAAGGAATAGTATTTAACAATTCCAATCCTTCTTCTGGAGTAGCAACTATATAATTGTGTCTGTTCAGCCTAAATAAAATTTTAACTGGGAATCCCCATCTGTATCGAATATTTCTATTTCTCAGTTCAGATGTAAAGTTTGCAAATTCCTTGCGTCTCTGTATGGTAATTAAAGAGAAGTCTTGAAATATTTTAATGTGAGAGAATTGTGTAGAAAAGCTTTTAGTGTGTAGAGTCATCAGCAATTCCTCCTTAATTTTAAAGAAATGGAATCTAGCGATTGGTATATATTGGTGTGTCTTTATGGGCAGATGCAGGTTTTGGTAGTCTACGTATCCTGTCAATATGTAGGTCAGAATCTGTTAAATTAGGTTTTATAGATTTGTCTTCAGATAATTTTCCAGTTTATTTGGTTGTATTGTGTCAGGAATACCCCTAATTATGATGTTATTTCTCCTATCTTCCATGTCATCAATTTTTGAGTTAGAAGAATGTAGTTGGATTTTCATTGCTTTAAAGTATTCTTTTAATTTAGTAATCAAGGTTTCATGTTTATATGGAGTTTCATCTACAGAGTCAGTCCTGTATTCTAATTCTGACACATTATGTTTTAAATTAATAAATTATTTTTAAAGATCCTCTTTAATATCATTCCTTAAATCTTGCCTTATTAATTGGAGCATTTTCCATTTTTGATCCATTGTAGCTGAAGTATCTGGGGATCCACCTAATAGTTTTACAATGTTATTCATATTTTTATTGGAGGATTTAATAGTCTCTCTGTTTGTAGTTAAATTAAATTTTAAATTTTGTGTAACTGTATCTTCTGACATGCCTGGGGGGTGCACATTCATGATATATTATGTTTAGTTTTAGTTTTACTGTTGAGGCATGGCCTCCCATGGTAATATGCATTATGGGAGCTGGACGCGGCCTAGCTTCTGCCTGGAAGCCTGTCGACTTTCCTATATTCATTGGTGGATCTAGTATTAATAGCACTTCCTCTTCTGTCGAATCGCATCTGAATTTCGCTGGTGTGGCAGCCGTGTATGTACCCGGTATGTACCCAACACTAGATGCCGTGATTTTTTGCCGGCTGAGTGACATGCCGTGCCTCGGGAAGCTTTGTACCCACCCCCCGGGTATCCACAAGTTTCATGGCTGCATCTGAAGTTCTTTACCACGCAGCTGTTTCCTTCAGCTGCGTGGCAGTGTTACTCACCACAGTGAGATTGCAGTTTAATGCCTCTTGTGTGATTATTTCTCTTTTTGTCTCAATTTCTGCAAGGGAAACAGGGGATCTTGCCTGTAACAAAGAATAACGTTTTTCTGTTGATGTGGAATTCAAATCGGTGCGGCCTTCAGCAAATCTCTCAGGTGCGGAGATTGATTTTACAGATGATTTATTAGGTAAAATCCTTTTTATTTTTTTTTGCATTTTTTTTACTTTGACTAATATTAGTTAACTTATCAATTAATTGACATTGAATATGAGCTATTTAATCACTATTTGGTAATTACCGTGTTTCCCCGAAAATAAACCCTACCCCGAAAATAAGCCCTAGTCGGATTTTCAGGGTGGGCTGCAATATAAGCCCTACCCCGAAAATAAGACCTAGGCATTTTACCTTTGCGGCGAGACTTCCGTCTTCTACTGTAGGAGGAGCGTTGCGGGCCGCGGCATCGCGCAACGTGATGACGACATTTCGCAGCGCCGTCAGTCTGCCTTCACGGATCTTCAGCGGAAGGATCCATTTCCGGGCGGTGAGGCTCCCAGTGGTCGGACTCGGCAAGGAATCTTTGAAATGTGAGTACCGCTAGATATTTTATGTCTGGGACTGAATTAATTAAAGGGGGCGGGGGGTGAATTAATTAAAGGGGGGTGAATTAATTAAAGGGTGGGCTGGATTAATTAGAGGGTGGTGAATTAATTAAAGGGGTGGTGAATTAATTAAAGGGTGGGCTGGATTAATTAGAGGGGGTGAATTAAAAAGGGGTGGTGAATTAATTAAAGGGTGGGCTGGATTAATTAGAGGGGGTGAATTAATTAAAGGGTGGTGAATTAAAGGGTGGGCTGGATTAATTAGAGGGGGTGAATTAATTAAAGGGGTGGTGAATTAATTGAAGGGTGGGCTGGATTAGTTAGAGGGGGTGAATTAATTAAAGGGGTGGTGAATTAATTAAAGGGTGGGCTGGATTAATTAGAGGGGGTGAATTAATTAAAGGGGTGGTGAATTAATTAAAGGGTGGGCTGGATTAATTAGAGGGGGGTGAATTAATTAAAGGGGGGTGAATTAATTAAAGGGTGGACTGGATTAATTAGAGGGGGTGAATTAATTAAAGGGTGGGCTGGATTAATTAGAGGGGGTGGATTAATTAGACGGGGTGGATTAATTAGAGGGG